CAGGTTTGTATGTCCACCATGCAGAAACATCCCAATTACACTGAGACAGCAGGTGAGACAGCAGGGTTTGCAACAGAGAAAGAGTTTCATGATCATAGGGTACCCAAATGAGGTGATGGAGGGAGATCCTCGCATCCACCTCCATGAGGATTTCTGGGCTGGAGCTTTTAAGGGGATCATGGAAGGTGAGAGACTGGAGAATTCAGGTCATTGATTGATCAGGGTAAAGGGGATGAAATCATCAGGATGTAGAAACTTCATTTTCTGGTGAGTCAGCTTCTTGTGGGGTTCTTCAGACCAGCTAATGTCAGCAGTTTCATTGGTATTCAGGACCTGAAAGAATATCTCAAAGGGAAAACTTAATGTTTTATAATGTTCAAGTTGTTATCTATAGAACAGTTAAGGGGGACTGTAATATTGTAACAGGTTCTATTGTCCTAGTCATTCTAGGATGACTAGATGACATTAATTCTGAATGTGCTGCATGCTTGGTTTGTTTTAATTTTCCCCATCCCTTCTTTTCTGATAACTTTTTTCTTTTGAGACAGAGTCCCACTCTGTTGCCCAGGCTATAGTGCAGTGGCACAATCTTGGCTCACTGCAACCTCCGCCTCCTGGATGCAAGTGATCCTATCACCTCAGCCTCCCGAGTAGCTGAGATTACAGGCATGTGCCACCATGCCCAGATAATTTTTGTATATTTAATAAAGATGGTGTTTCACCATGTTGGCCAGACAGGTCTTGAACTCCTGACCTCAGGTGATTCACCCACCTTGGGCTCCTAAAGTGCTGGGTTTACAGGCATGAGCTGTCGTGCCTGGCCTCCTGATTAATTTTATAAAGTGTATAGGGGCAATTTCAAGTCTACTAGGTTAGTATTTGCTCCTGAGCAGGACTCTGAGACCAGAGTTGGTTCCCATAGTTTATTCTGTCATCTCACTGAGAGTGTGGGATTGAGACAGAATTCTGTAATGTTCCTTGCTTTAGTTCTTACTGTTTTGTAACTTTTGCCAATTTATGCTCCATACGCCTGGATGACATGTGTGTTTTATTGTTAAGGAGCAAGTATGCATTCCTCCCTTGCCAGTTTTCCCGATCACGGGCAGTGTTCGCTTCTCCCCCTCAACCTCCTCAAATGCTGTTCATCAAAATCTTAAGAAACAATAAGTTTCCAAATGGCACTTGGCCAATTTTGTATTGGACTCAAAACATTTATTTCTGCCGAAATGAGGTTTCTGCATTTATTTTTGCAGAAATGAGTTTCTGTTTTCTTCTCTGAGTTTGTTGGTGAGGAAATAAAGTAAGATGTTTTTCATGGTGTTCTTATAATATCCTAGAATGGTTTCATCTGTTAAGGATAATAAAGGATCTTAGGTGAAGGAGTGACTTTCTTTCTTTCTTTTTTTGTTTTTTTTTTCTTTTTTTCTTTTGTTTTGTGAGAGTCTTGCTCTGTCAGCCAGACTGGAGTTCAGTGGCATGATCTCAGCTCACTGTAACCTCCACCTCCCGGGTTCAAACAATTCTACTCCAGCCTCTTGAGTAGCTGGAATTACAGGGATGTGCCACCATGCCTGGCTAATTTTTGTATTTTTAACAGAGACAGGGTCACACTATTTGACTAGGCTGGTCTCGAACTCCTAAGCTCAAGTGACCTGCTTGCCTAGGCTTCCCAAAGTGCTGGGATTACAGGCCACTGTGGCTGGCCAGCATTAGATTGGGGATTTGTGTGCTTCCATGGTGGACCTGGGGGCCTGGTTTTACTTGGCTAATCTATAGACTCATTCACTTTAGGGTGAATTTGGACTCTTGCACTCTGCCTCAACTTCCATTTCTCTCCATTTTCAAACTTCAACACCGTAACGCTCTTAGGCTGTCTCAAATGTGTTCTACCAGAGACAGGCTTTCTGGAAGTCCCTCTTGAGATAACCTCATCCAATTCTCACTTTGTTGACCGCGTCTCCGCCGGAGACAACTGCATCTGGAAGGGATTTCTTTCTTCTCACTGGTGCCATCGGGGCCTTCTGTTTGTCTAGATAACAGGCCATTCTCAGCTCTCATTTTCTCTAATGCATTTGACTTTCCTGAACCCAGAGGTTGAGCAGCCTTTTGAGGACAGGGACATTGTCCTTCTCACCTGCAGAGGCTCCCTTTAAATATTTATAAAATGAATGCACATATGCTTCTTGTAGAAACCCTGCCGGAGGCTTTACAGGATAATGCTTCTGAGGTAGCGTCATAGGAGCATTATCCTGCAAAGTGTTGGAGTCTGTTTCAACACCTCCAGATGATGCTCTTGGCTTCTCACATTTGAGGACTGTGGTTCCTCATTGCAGACCTGTCTGTACTCCCTTGAGCATGGCTTCTTCAGCCCTTCTTCCTTCTACATTCTCTATCTAGCCCTCTGCGAAACAAAAGAATTTAGCTGGGTGTAGTGGTGTATGCCAGTAGTTCCAGCTGCTCGGGAGGCTGAGGCAGGAGGATTGCTTGAGCCTGGGAAGTTGAGGCTGCAGTGAGCCACAACTGTTTACTAGCACTTCTTCCTGCCTCCTAAATACATGTGTTCCACAAAGTGTGGCTCTAACCCTTCTTCACTGCAGTTCCTGGAACTGTCGCCCTCTTTCTTACAGGCCTCCTTCTTCCTCTTCTTCTTCTTCCTGTTCCTCCTCCTCCCCCTCTCCTCCTCTTCTTTCTCCTTCTCCTTCTCCTTTCTTCTTCTTTTCTTGAGATGGAGTCTCACTCTGTCACCCAGGCTGGAGTGCAATGAGGCAATCTTGGCTCACTGCAATCTCTGCCTCCCAGATTCTAGCAATCCTCCTGCCTCAACCATACCCAGGTAGTAGTTTTTGTATTTTTAGTAGAGTTGGGGTTTCTCCATGTTAGGACATCATCTCTTATCACACAGTCCTGACGCCTCTGCCATGCCTTGTCACTTCTAGATCATTGTGGTTCAGCTGCATACCCCAGAATGCCCTCTGACCACCTCAGCTTGTCCCCAGAGAAACTCATCAACTTGTTCTTCCTCTTCTCTTCTTTTTCTCTTTTTAAATCAGTGGCATCTGGCTGGGTGCCGTGGCTCATGCCTGTAATCCCAGCACTTTGGGAGGCCAAGGTAGGCGGATCACTTGAGGCCAGGAATTTGAGACCAGTCAGGCCAATGTGGTGAAACGCCGTCTGCATTAAAAATACAAAAATTGGCCAGGCATGATGATGCATGCCTGTAACCCCAGCAACTCAGGAGGCTGAGGCAGGAGAATCACGTGAACCTCTGGAGGCAGAGGTTGCAGTGAGCCAAGATATCAACACTGCACTCCAGCCTGGCCAACAAGAGGGAAACTCTGTCTCAACAAATAAAAATACATGAAAATAAAATTGATATCGGCTAGTTAGAAAGACAAGTGGTTGTACATAGGAAGTTATGCAATTGATCAATATTAACGATGGTAAACCAGTTATTATTAGATTTACCATTTATTGAGTGGATATTGAGGGCTTTATATATATAGCTTCTCCTTTAGTCTGAGCAGCCATGAGACTAGTACCAAAGGATGAGGCATTCTCCTTTTACCCCTTTTATACCTCTCAGAGCTCTTTAGATGTGAGGCCAGTGGTAATGACCCACACTTTTCTTTTTCCAACCTTGCCAATCCCCTGCCCATAGACCTCCCCTGAAATCTTGCAACTGCTTAACAAATGAGGAATTCATTTGATACCTAGACATGGTGGCTGGTGTAGCCAGGAGCTGACATCCTGTTCCTGGGAAAAGCCACGAGTAGGTCGCAGATCACATAGCAGCTAAGAGCTAACGGTGCCTGCCGAACTCCTGGCATTTTGCCTGGTGCTCAGCGTTGAGAATGTTCTCCCTGAACTTATGGAGATTCCTGCAGTCACAGGCCAACCCTGGTGAGCAAGCGGGATTTTCCTTGTAGCATTCCATGATCTGTGGCCTTCAGTGGCATGTCCCTGAGTTCCCCAGCACCAACTGCAGGTATCTAAGAATGCCTTCCCTGCTAGCTCCTCCTTTTCCTCCCTACAACTGGTGATTTTTATGCACACAAAGTATCACTCTTTTTAATAAATTTTTTAAAGATGTCTTTATTTTTATTTATTCTTAAAATTAGAGACCAGGTCTTGCTCTGCTGCCCAGGCTGGAATGCAGTGGTATAACAATAGCCTCCAACTCCTGGGCTCAAGTGGTCCTCTTTCTTCAGCCTCCCGACTAGCTGGAAGTACAGGTGCACAACAGCACACCTGGCTGGCATCAATCGTTATAGAGTTAGATTCAGTTGGGTTGTATTTCAGCTCTCCCATTACCCCATGCATGACCTTGGAACAGGTTAGCCTCCCTGAGATTATGTCTTCATTTGCAAAATGGAATTAATCTAGTTAATTAATGGAATTAATCTAGCAACCTCCTAGGGTTTCTGCAAGGATTAAATTAGCTCAGAAATGAAGCACTTTCCCACCTGCTGGTTGCAGAAGGGAGAGTATCCAATCCCTGGTAGCATTAGTTCTGCCCCCAAGACAGCATTTCTTAAACGGAGCAAAGACTTCTTTTGCATCCCAAAACACATTACTGTAAGAACGAGTCTGTGCGCAGATGAAAAAGCCGATATAGAAATGGATAAACCGGATGGACCTGGGGTGGCAGGAGGACGAGGACAAGGACAAGGATTCTGGCCAAGTTGGAGGAAGGATCCTGAAGAAAAGGAATCCCAAAGGACATGTGCCGGCTCACAGCAGCCAGGATAGAAAAGCCAGGCATGGTTCCCATCCATCCGGCTATACGGATTGCAGGCTGTCAGAAGATAGCTGTCCTGGGTGAATGCATCTGAGATGTCTTCTGACTCCCAGGCTCATGAGATTTTCTTTTTTGCCAGAATGAGTAACAGGCAATTTTGTTTTGAGATCTTTGACCTCCCAGAAGATCTGTGGGCATTGCACTGGGTTAGATGCAAATTCGAAATGACATGTTTACAGACATTATATTTTGTCATTTGCAGAGGAGCTGAAGGTTCCCCTGGAGGAGTATGTCCACAAACGCTACCCCGGGCTGGTGAAGGTGGTGAGAAATCGGAAGAGGGAAGGCCTGATCCGCGCTCGCATTGAGGGCTGGAAGGTGGCCACCGGGCAGGTCACTGGCTTCTTTGATGCCCATGTGGAATTCACTGCTGGCTGGTAGGTCATGAGCTGAAACTCAGGGGTGCTCAAGACCTGTGCTGTGGTTGAGAGGGGCTGGAATCTGGGAGATGGGGTGTCGCACCTATCACCTGTAGGGGCACTGGAAGAATGGAGAAAGGCTCATTGAAGAAGAAAGTGATACCACTGTCTGGGATAAAACTGCGGAGCAGGGAGAAATTTGTCTGCCATCTGTTCAGTTCACCATCATTGGCATCTTGTCATCATCATCAAAATCCCCAGAGAAAATGATGTATCAGGCTGGGCACAGTGGCTTGTGCCTGTAATCCCTGCACTTTGGGAGGCCGAGGTGGGTGGATCATTTGAGTTCAGTTCAAGACCAGCCTGGGAACATGGTGAGACTCCATCTCTACTAAAAATACAAAACTTAGCCGGGCATAGTGGTGCATGCCTGTAGTCCCAGCTACTCAGGAGGCTGAAGCAGGAGAATTGCTTGAACCTGGGAGCGGAGATTGCAGTGAGCCAAGATTGCACCATTGCACTCTATCCTGGGTGACAGAGAGAGTTTCCATTTCCAAAAAAAAACAAAATTAAGAACAAAAACAAAAACAAATACAGACTTAAGGGATACTAGGCCACTGTTGGAGATTTAAAGTTGGTAAATTCCAAAAAAAAAAAAAGGAAGGAGAAAAAGAAAATAATGTCTCAATTAGACAGAATTCAATGGAATTCCTGCAAACGGCACAAGGCAGTCATATTTTCATTTTCTTTTCCTTCTTTGCTGTTCTCTTTGCAGGGGAGAATGGTTTACTGTCATTGTGAGAAAAGAGATATAGTTATAATTCTAACTACTCATGTAAAGCTTCCCAGAATGTATGGGATTATCTTTAACATCATTCAGAGGAAGGTGAAGTGTATTTTCTGCAGAAGTGGCCCTGATATTTTTCCAGGTGAAAAAAACAGTATGTGAGAAATTGGTTAAATGTACAGGAAGTAGAAGATTTTGGATGAGTGAGGCCACAAAAGTGCCAAAATCCTGTTAAAATTGGAATAGGACTTTCCAGTTTTAAAGCATGGTCTGATGATTGTTCTTAACTAACCAATGATCCATCAAGTTAGAGATTAAATAACCTGTACCCTGGTTTGCTTAATTAGTAAGAAGCAGAGTTTTGTAGTTCACAAATGTGTTTATTTACACTCATTGCGGCCATCTTGAGTAAGTGTTGTTCACTGTACTAGATTTGAAGAACCAATATCCCATCACTGATTAACATTAAAATGTCTGTTCTTCTTCATTTGCAACAACCTCTAGAATCCTTTTAATGGCGGGATAAAAAGACAATGTTTATTGTTGGAAACAGATGCTCGGTGCCACAAAGAAAAATCGGCACTGAGACAAACGATCTCTCAGCAAGGCAATCTTTACTTCTTGCAGAAAGGGTACTCTCACAAGCAGTCTTGCCAGTTGAGTACAATGAACAAAGAAAAGCAGACAGTATTTGTCTTTTATGCATTTGGGGCTGTCCTTACTGCTGTGTCTGATCTCCATTGGTTGGAGCTAGACTTCACAATCTAAAACTGAACTTGATTGGCTAATAACTTAAAACTTTCTTGAATAAAGGCAATGGAGAACAAAAGGAAAAGAGGAAGTCTAAATAAGGAAGGGACAGGAAATTGCTTGCAAAAGGACTTAGAAAAGTAATAGCATAAATATCTTGTTTACAGTACAAGGACATAGAATGTACTATGTGCCTGTGAGCTTGTCTAACAGCTACATAGGATAGGGCTTAGCAAAGAGTTATAAGCAAAAAGGAAGAAGGCTTTGAAGAAAGCCTTTAAAACAAACTATTATTTCTAACACTTATGATTTATTCCTTAACAAGAAAGGAAACTTTGAAGAATAACTTTTCTACTTCCTGCATTTATGCACATGACCACATAAGAAATCCGGGGCCACTGATAACACTGACTCCTTCAAGTGCACACTAGGGTCTGTTGCCATCTTAGACACCAATTTTCCCTCCTAGTCTTTTGCTGTCATCAAACCCTGGTGACTCCCAGCTGCGTGTCTTCTCTTCCCATCTCTCTCTGAGCTCCAGCGCTGTTTATCACTAGTAATAATCATTCCCAAAGTGTGGTGCCCAGACCCACAGCATCTGCAGAATCTGGGAACTTGCAGAAATACAAATTCCTGGGCTCCACCCAGTCCCCTGAAATCAGAAGCCATGCAGGTGGGATCAGCAGTCTGTTGTAACCAGCCCTTCAGGGGACTCTGATGCATGCTGTAGTTTGAGAAGCACTGAGCTATCATAGAAGCCTTCTGAACAGAGACATGTGAATGTTCTATCACAGCCTCAGGCTTGGCATACCTTGTCTTTTCCTTGGCACCATTGCCTCCTCTTTTCTTTCCTTTCTAATTGGTTGGTCCCCACACGTGTGCCTTTCACTTGATTTTCCCCTTGCCATCATGTTACTCATCCAGTCAACCTCCAGCTCCAGCCAGTTTTGTCTGCTGTTTCTCCTGTCTCCCTCTTTCTCTCCGTCTTGACCACCACTCTCCCAGCTTGGCTCTTAACATTCACCTAAACAAAAGAGGTCACTGCTGGAACTCATTCTTTTGACAGATACTTGCTAGATACATAACATATCCCTGGTGCTGTTCTAGGTTTGCTGAGCATGTGGGGATTAGAAGAGTTTAGATGCACAAAGAGTGAGGCCACAAAATGCCAAAATCATGTTGAAACTGGAATAGGACGTTCCAGTTTTAAAGCATGGTCAGATGATTTTTGCTAACTAACCAATGATCCATCAAATTAGAGGTTAAATAACCTGTACCCTGGGTTGATTGATTAGTAAGAAGTTTGGTGCTGAATGATTTCCCAGAACTTTTGGTGGTAAGGCTGGAAGAGTCCTGCACAAACTGGGATGGTTGGACACTTGGGAATAAAAGCTCAGAGTCGCAAAGAAAATGAGCACTTATGCAAAGGATTTCTCAGCAAGGCAAATTTACTTCTGCAGAAGGGTGCTGCTTGCCATGAGGGCACCCTGAACAAAGAAGGGAAGAGATTTTTATTCCTAATGCAGTTTGTTTCTGCTAGTGTGTCTTGCCTCCCTTGGCTGGAGTTGGACCACACAATCTAAGCGGAACCTGATTGGCTAACTTGAAGAGTGCTTGGGATGTGCATAATGAGGAGGGAAGGGCAGTTTCAGTGGGAAGAGCCATTGCAGCAGGAGGGGTAATTTACATAGTGAGTAGTAGATGTCGGCTTTGTAGATTAGGATGGGCTAGAAAGTTGTTTACTGAAACTGGGGCAGGGAGGCACAAAGGATAAGGAAGTCTGGCTTTGAAAGCGGGGAACAAAGAACAAGGAAACTAAATAAACTAAGCTCTTTGAAGAGGAACTTCTTCTTGCGGCTAAAAGACACTCAGCTGGGATTCAAAAGCTGGCAGGTTTAGTATCTGCCCTCAGGTCTACAGTCTAATTCGGGTCTATGTAATCTAATCCACTTGTCATCTAATTCTCATTGATTTCTGTGACTTTAGTCTTTGCCGTTCAGTCTCATTTTCCACACTTCTACCAGGTGGCGTAGAATCCTCTTTGAATTAAAACTCTTTTGCAGCTCTTCACTACAAGATAGACAGTATGTCTCAACTTTTACCAGGTTCTACTGCAATAATAATCTCCAGTCTCAATGACTTATGACAATACATGTTTCTCTCTTGTGTGCATGGCACGTTAGCTATGGTTGTCTGGCTGTGACTGTGCTTGATTTATCCTCAGTATTCTGAGAGCCAAGGAATCCTCCCGTCTAGGACATCCCATGTTGGTGGCTCAGGGAAAAGAACAGAGGCTGAACTTGGAAATTGCTGTTAAAGTTTCTGCTCTGATGTGACACTGTCACATTGGCTTGCATCCCCTTGGCAAACCAATTCACAGGTCCAGGTTAAGTGTTAACTGAAGGTTGGAGGAAGGAATGTGCTTCGCTGGGGAAGCACTGCAGGTCATTTGGTAATAGGAAGGACTTCCCCAGCGAAGAGGAAGCAAATTATTGGGAACCGTCATACATTGTCCCATAGACAGTGGGATCAGACTTCTCAGCCACAGAAATATTATTGGAACCAAGGTCTTCTGCCTTCATACTCAGTGACTCTTTCACAGCTGATGGATAGGCTGAACTGAATGCTTCTATATGCATGGCCTGGACTTGGATGGGGGTTCATGATGGTTCATCAGGGAGGTCAAGGAGCTTCAGAATGAAGACATGAACCGGACCAGCTACGTTAGAAACCTGGTTCTACCACCAGTTGGCTGTGTAGCCTGAGGCAAGCTACTTAGCCTCCCTGGGCCTCAGTTTCCTCATTTGGATAATGGTGATCATCATATCTGCCTCATAGGATTATCTTGGGGGTTGCATCAGTCAGCACACGTGAAATATTTAAAATGGTGCCTTGCACCAGCAAGTGCTCAATAAAGGTCAGCTATGATTAGCTCATAAGGAAAAATAGTGTGTGTTCAGAGATTATTAGCAAAGGCAGCTGTGCAGTCACTGTGACTTAAGGTGGAGAAATGGTCTAAGAGTTGAGCGGAAGAAGTCCCATGGGAGACGTGGTACTTGGTCTTGGGAGTAGATAGTGAGAGAGGTGGTACTTGGTACCACCTAGCCTCCTTAGGTGGCTAGGCTTTCTGCCAATAGCAAAGGGCATTCCCAGGGGAGAATTTCATGAGTATAGACTTGGCCAGGGCCATGCTTCTAAGCCTGCCTGGAAGCCTTGGAAAATCAGTGCCATTTGGCTTCAGCTTATATGGTGTGTGCAAAAGTATTGGAAGCAGGTAATGGCCCAGGGTATATTTTATTGCTCATTTTAAATAGAAAGATGAGATGAGCCAACAGGTAATTCAATAGCTGCAAATGAAACGAGATGGGTTGTCGACTATGTGTTCTCATTATTCTTCCTGATAATGCAGAGGAATGGGATTTTTGCTTGACTCTGTTCCAAAGCCTGCATTCTGTTGTAAGCTGGGAGATTAATGCCCTGGCTTAGGAGAGAGCCATCTTCTCCTTCTCAAATGTGGGAAATGATCTCTTCCTGTGTCTGCCTCAGAGGCACATGATGGTGGAGGTGTCTGACCATCTGCTGTCTCCTAAGCCAGCCGGGCTACACCTTGAACCTGGAGCCAGATCCCTGATGAATTCCCGCTGCAGCCTCGAGCTGGGGAAGTGAGCAGGGCAGGATTCTGCCTGCCTTTGCATTTAATTAGTTTCCAGCCTTCTATTACTAACCAATTTCATTAGATCTCTTTTAAGAAATCAATTAAATAATCAATTAAAACAACTGAAGTAGTCACACACATGTGCGTGCGCACATGCACACGCGCACACGTGTGCGCGCACACACACACACACACACACACACACGGGGGGGGGAGAGAGAGAGAGAGAGAGAGAGAGAGAGAAGCTAGTGAAATGCATATTAAAACCAGGCCATCCCGGGCAGAAGTGACCTATTTTGGGAAAGGGAATTCAGTGGCAGAAGAAAAAACGAGCAGTGTTAGTCAGTGCCCTGGGGGGAAACTGACAACACTGTATAAAACTGTCAGGAGTGTAAATTAATTCAACCATTGTGGAAGACAGTATGGCAGTTCCTCAAGGATCTGGAAATAGAAATAGCATTTGACCCAGCAATCCCATTACTGGGTATATATCCAAAGGATTATAAATCATTCTATTATAAAGACACATGCACACGTATGTTTATTTCAACACTGTTCACAAGAGCAAAGACTTAGGACCAACCCAAATGCCCATCAATGATAGACTGGATAAAGAAAATGTGGTGCATATTTACCATGGAATACTATGCAACCATAAAAAAGGATGATGTCCTTTGCAGGGACATGGGTGAAGCTGGAAACCATCATTCTCAGCAAACTGACACAAGAACAGAAAACCAAACTCCACATGTTCTCACTCATAAGTGAGTGTTGAACAACGAGAACACATGGACACAGAGAGGGGAACATCACACACCAGGGCCTGTCGGGGGCTGGGGGGCAAAGGGAGGGTTAGCAGGGAGTGGGGGAATTGGAGAAGGATAGCATTAGGAGAAATACCTAATGTAGATGACGGGGCGATGGATTGCAGCAAACCACCATGGCATGTGTATGCCTATGTAACAAACCTGCACGATCTGCACATGTCTCCAAGAACTTACATTATAATAAATGAATATTTTTAAAAACCTGTCATGCATTGTAAATCATAGAGTCCACTGTCAATATGAAAATGAGACTTGGTACTTGCTTCAGCAGGAGATCCCACATTCTGAACTCTTATTCCAGGCTTTCAGGCTGGAGCAGGCATCACTGTGGTCATTCCCATAAGGGTAAAGGTGTGAGCGGATTTCACACACTTCCTGGCCCAGGTGTGAAGCTGCAGGATCCAATGTGTGCAGGTCCCTGGGAGCCTCAGTTTCCATCTGAGTTCCAGGCTTCCCAAAGCCCAGCCTTTTAGCCGAATGCTATTCATTCCCTGTGGTCTTGGGAGGTGTGCCTCAGGAGAGAGAAGAGAAATTTCATGTCTGTTTCTCTGTGTTTCAGGGCTGAGCCGGTTCTGTCCCGCATCCAGGAAAACCGGAAGCGTGTGATCCTCCCCTCTATTGACAACATCAAACAGGACAACTTTGAGGTGCAGCGGTATGAGAACTCGGCCCATGGGTACAGCTGGGAGCTGTGGTGCATGTACATCAGCCCACCAAAAGACTGGTGGGACGCCGGAGACCCTTCTCTCCCCATCAGGTCTGTGACTGGTGAGCTCTGGTGGCCAGTGAGCCCCCAAATTCAAGGGTAAAAAGGAGCCACTGAGAGAGGCCAGGGAAGCCTGCCTTGGGCTGGAGCCGCTGTGTGTACACAGCTCTCCGGGAGCCGCACATGGGTGTCTGGGGATCACAGCTTTCCTGCAGAGGGAGGATGTTGCATTTTGCACCTTTATCTAAAGTTTTCAAGTGCAGCTTTCCAACGGCAATACCGAAAGTTTCAAAGTGATAGTCGTGTTCACACTTCTTTATTCTTCCTTGTATAAGAGGAGCTGTGTTCAGGAGCTTTTAAGGATGAAGTTTGAAAGTTATTTTTTCTGGAGCTATTTTATACTTGAAGCCTCATACTGTTGCCGCGTTTGCAGTGTTTTCCATGATGCAGGATCATAGAAAAGGACAAGCATGTGTGGCGTTCTGGGGAACTGGAGGGCCATGGGGGAGCTCTTTATGGCTCTTGCCCTGGGTCCCACCCAGCTGCCCCTCTGGCTATGAAGATTAATATCTTGAGGCATACCAGTTGCAAAACTCAAATAGAAAGGAGGTTGAGGCTGGGCATGGTGACTCATGCCTGTCATCCCAGTGCTTTGGGAGGCCACGGTGGGTGGATCACCTGACATCAGGAGTTTGAGACCAGCCTGGCCAACATGGTGAAACCCCATCTCTACTAAAAATACAAAAATTAGCCAGGCATGGTTGTAGGTGCCTGTAGTCCCAGCTACTTGGGAGGCTGAGACAGCAGAATCACTTGAACACAGAAGTTGGAGGTGTCAGTGAGCTGAGATCATGCCATTGCACTCCAGTCTGGGCAACAAGAGCAAAACTCCGTCTCAANTACAAAAATTAGCCAGGCATGGTTGTAGGTGCCTGTAGTCCCAGCTACTTGGGAGGCTGAGACAGCAGAATCACTTGAACACAGAAGTTGGAGGTTGCGGTGAGCTGAGATCACGCCATTGCACTCCAGCCTGGGCAACAAGAGTGAAACTCCGTTCAAAAAAAAAAAAAAAAACCAAGGCAGTTGAATGCATTAGGTTGATTTCAATGGTATATTGGTTTTCTCTTGCTGCTGTAACAAATTTCTGTGAAAATGATGACTTGAAATAGCACAGGTAGATGCTGCTACAGCATCTGTCTTGAGGTCGGAAGTTTGCAATGAGTCGATGAAGCTAAAATCGAGGAGGAGTGGGCCCCTCTGCGGGCTCTCGGGGAGATCCATCTCTTTGCCTTTTACAGCTTCCAGAAGCTGTTCCCTCCCTTGGCTCTTGGCTATGTTGCGTCTCCCTTTCTTTCCAGCTTGCTTCATCACATGACCTTTTCCTCCTTTGCTGCCTTCCCTCCCACTTGTACAGACTCTTGTGATTGATTACATTTTGGATCCATATGCCGAATCTAGGATCATCTCCCCATCTTGAGATACTGAACTTAATCACATCTGTGAAGTCCTTTTCCTAATCTCTGGAACCTGTGAATGGTCCCTCATTTTGAGAAAAAGTGAAATGAGAGTGTTCCCTTATCCCCCTTGCAGGGTGTGTGACAGGGGTGTGGCTTGCTTCTTCAGTGCCCCACTGCTCAAAGCCCTAGGGGCATCATGCAAATGGGCAGGTTGCAGGGAGCATTTTTGGGCTCTGACCCCATGGCAGTGTCTAGGGTTGAGTGTTTACAGCTCCTGAAGTCCCAGTGGGTGTGTATTACAGTGTGCTCTTTCAGCTTTGCCATCTGCAGGCAGGTTGTGTTCATCAGCTTAGTTAGACCCTCTGCCTTATCACAATTACAGAGGGCTTTCTGTATCCTGGATTCTTGCCCTAGTGTATCAGAAAAGCCAAATCACTTGTGGGCTTGTAGAATGAGCACAAGGTCTTCTTGAGTGGTGGAGGTAGCTCTCAATGAGAGGGATGGGGAGCTGGAAGGGGGATGGAGTGGGAAGGTGGTCTTTCCCTGGAGTTGGGTCACCCAACTGCCAGACTCTCCTGTAACCACCCCCGGACTAACTCCCCTCAGCATCCACATCATTCTGCTGCCAGTGTCTGCTGGTGTCTGTCTGTGTATTCTTCTGTCCCTCTCAATGTCCAGCTGCCTGTGTCTGTGCCAACTACAGTCCCAGGTTTTTATGGGCATAGGATGGGGGGGTCATGGTAGGCCAAAAGGCAACTTTTTGAGTGCGAAAACAGGAATACCTGTCCTCTTTTATGTCTGTGGGCACAGGCCTGAGGGTGGAGTCATCACCAGAGTCCCTGTCCTTCTCTACCTAGAACTTTCCTGCCCCCATCCCATATCAAAAGGCCTTTTCAGATGTGATGTGGAAATCCTAATCTCTGGAACCTGTGAATGGTACCTTATTTGGGGAAAAGGGCTTTGTTGAAAATCCTCTGATCCCGGATTTATAGTTCAATACGTTGTGTGAGTTTTACCTGAGGGACAAACTGACTCTTAAAATCATGGTTCTGTCTTAAATTGGGAGTGGCAGGAGAGGCCTGTGTACCTGGGCTCGGTTTTAGGGGTATGCTTCTTGGTGTTAAGATAATAAGATAGAATAATGGAGTAGGGATGAAGAATTTTTACAGACAATCATAAAGTTCTTTCTCAGTTTAAAAATTTGTGATTAACAAGAGTAAGAGTTTAGCTAGGCCCAGTGGCCCACATCTGTAATCCTAGAACCTTGGGAGGCCAAGGTGGGAGGATTGCCTGAGTTCAGGAGTTTAAGACCAGCCTGGGCAACATAGCAAGACTATGTCTCCACTGAAATAATAATTAAAAAAAAAATAGCCAGGGTGGTGGTGTGCTCTTGTAATCCCAGCTACTCAGGAGGCAGAGGAGGGAGTATTGCTGGAGCCCAGGAGGTCGAGGCTGCAGTGAGCTGTGATCATGCTACTGCATTCTAACCTGGGCAACAGAGGGAGACTCTATCACAGATTTAAAAAAAAAAAAGTGATTTTTGAGAAGTTCTGTTATTTTCCTGCCCATACCAAAAGCTGAAAAATTACATTTGAGTAGAGCCAGCCATGGGCAAATTTTTACAGCAGAGAAGGTAAGCTATCCTATGGTTCAGTTCCCACCCCACTGTTAATCATGCAGTGTTTCAGGACCACATCCGTGGCTATCTGCAAATAATATTAATAGTTTAAGATTAACTAAATCAAAACCTTCAGAGAAGTTTGGGTCTTAATGGTGAGGGCTTGAAGACATACTGACCTTCAGATCTCAAAGGGATGAAACTCAAACGATGGACTGACAGACGGTGAGTTTCACATGTTGGCTGAAAGATGCTTTCTCTCAAGTGTCCACACTGACACTCAGGAGGCCAGCCTTCAGCCAGGACAGATGACAGAAAGGAAGTGTGACTGTAAGTGTTAACAACAGAGAAAAAGAAGTGCTTTAGTGGAGTACCTTCGGATGCCCAGTAGACATCCGTGATGACTGTCTCTGAGCGTATAAGGCTCCAAGCAAAAAGTTAGCTTGTATTTCATGAGTTACGGTAACATTAACAGATGATTAATACGCACTTTAAAAAGACTCAAGAAAATAGAGTCATGATCATGAGTCATTAATATTACATGCATCTCTGACGTACAAAATAGAATCAAATGCCAATTATCTCTTTTTAATGTGTCTTAACTTACAGAATGCTTAATTTGTTAATAGTTGATGGGGATATTTAATTGCACGGATGAATTTTTATGGCCCTTCTGAAATTATTAAGCGGATACAATATGCTTTCTTAGACATGAGTACATGGCGGTTTCTCTTTCTTGCTGTGATGCCAAAATTTTGATAGTTACAATTTTACTCCAGTGAAAGATGAGCCGAGGAGAATGCTTCATCATCCAAATGGTATTACATTAGATGCATCTTCAGATACTAAGACTTCCTGGTAAGCAACATAATATAGGAGATTTGCATTAAGGGAATGGATATTCCTTCTGTTTCAGTTCCTTTCCTGTTTCTTTCTATATATAAATACCTCTCTTGTCCTGCCTGCTAAATAGCTATTTTCTCAGGTTTTCTATTTGTCCTCTGTTCTTCCTTGTTTACACCAGTGTTTCCAGTATAGCAAGTGTGTGTGTGCCATTAAAGAGGGCAAAGGCCGGATTGTAAGGGTAAGAGGTGGGGGAATGGAAGAACACAGGTCCTGCCCAAGGGGGCAGCTGCTCCCAGCGCTGCTTTATGGTGATGGGGGTACATAGGGCCACTGTGGTCATGTCTTCAAAATTTTAAGAGAAGCCGTAAATCTAGAGCCTTTGTGAAATCTCCTATCTTCTAAATGTTGACAATAAACCCCTCTTCTTCAAAACGACAAGGACCCAACCACATGTGTCTAGACTGCCTTTGACCACTGAGCCCCCAGAACTTGATCTTGCCTTTACACCCAGCCCCTTGGAGACCTCTGTGGTTCCCAGGATAGCTTTCATTTATGCATCTTGCACTGACAGTGCGTATCTATGGTATGTAGTGTGGGTGTCATGGAGGATGTATTAATTCTTGAACTGCTATAAAGAAATATCTGAGTCTGGGTAATTTATAAAGAAAGAAGGTTTAATTGGCCTAGGGTTCAGCTGGCTGTACAGGAGGCATGGAGGCTTCTGCTTCTGGGGAGGCCTCAGGAATCTTATAGTCATGGCTGAAGGGGAAGCAGGTAAGTCTTACATGGCCAGAGTAGGAGGAAGAAGAGACAGGAGAAGGTCCCACACACTTTTAAATAACCAGATCTCATGAGAACTCTATCATGAACACAGCACCAAAGGGATGGTGCTAACCCATTCATGAAGGATCCACCCCTATGATCCCGTCACCTCCTACCTGGCCTCACCTCCAACACTGGGGATTACAATTCAACATGAGATTTGGGCAGGGGCACAGAGCCAAACCATGTCAGTGGGGCTAGGGGATTTTGGGAAAGTGTCGCTCAAAGCCATAGGAGCAACGTGGCCAGACTTCCTGGAACTCCAGTTAAGCCTGTAGAGATTCCCCTCCAGCTGTGCCATTGTGTGTCCATAGCCCTTTGTTCGTCTGTGTGAGAGTTTGTGCAGCACTGAGCCAGCTC